CTATTGATGAATATTTGAGTAAGATCACTGGAATTGATTAAACTCCAGTTCATCTTATGCTTATAACAAATTATAGAGAAAGTAGTGTTCCAAAGACACAGTAATTGTATTTTCAATTTATTGTTGTTGTTGTTGTTGTTGTTGATTGTCATCAAGCTGAGCATTGCTCATAGCAACCCTATGAACCAAAAGACTTAAAGCCTTTCTATCACTATCATCATTTCTCCAAGTTCATAGAGTTTCCATAGGCATGTGGTTTAGGAAGTGGATGCCACTACTGCTTCCAAACCTGTCTTAAGTTGGGATCTCCACCAACCACCTGGATAATTATATGGCATTTGTCTCCCAATGGTACAAGGTTCAACATCACAGCAAACCCAGATTACCTCACTGCAGAAAATTGACAGAAAAGTGCTGCACAATTTAAAAGAATATTCCTCCAAAAACAACACTAGACCCTCAGGCCCAACCAATGTTTATAAGAGCCAAAATAAAATAATAAGGGATTAAAATATAATCCCTCAGGTCCACCTTTTAAATATAAGGGCCCTCCAGGAGGTCTTGTTAACTCTAAACAAGAGGCTTAACTAAAAAACCAGCACACATTCCACACAGATCCTCAACCAAAACAAAAACATCATCATACAGAGTCCACCACTTCACTCAACTACAAAATGGAGACAAAGGCTTGGCTTTATATGTTATTGTTATTGTTGCTGTTGTTGTTGTTAAGTGTCATCAAGTGGTGACCCTATAAACTAAAAACCCTAACCTTGCTCTATAAAAATTCTCCTCTAAGTTCATAGAATTTCCATGAAGTAAATGCCACTCCTGCTTCCAAGCCTGTCTTAATCTGTGTATTCTACCAAACATTGTGAACCATGTGTAACCATTACGGCAAATGATGCACCACTGGCACACCGTTTAGTATCACAGGAATCCCACATTACCAAAATACAGTGAAATGACAGAAAAATGCCATATCACATAGGAAATGTTCATTTCATATCAATAAAATCAGGCCAGAGTGCGGACCCGAGGGCCTCAATGACTTTAAAAAAAAACAGAAACAAAATACAAAACTAAACAAATAAAAAACAACAAAAACCAAAAAAAATATCCCCCCAAAAAAACCCGAAAAATAAACCACCAAAAACCCAGTGCCCACACCAGTCTCTCATTGGCTCCAATGAGAGGCTCCAGCCCACTCTCACCATCGAACAACCAGGCCAGAGCCGTTGGCCAGGGAGCAAAATAACTGGCCCTTCCAAAAGTCAAATGGCTATAAAAAACAAAAAAAGCCCCAACTCCCTCACCAGTCTCTCATAAAAAAACAGGCAAAATTTACCAGGTTCTGTAGAGACTTTGTTTATGAAAAAAGTAAAGAGGCGCATGTTAATTCCAGGAAATATAATGGTAGAATTTAGTGTTCTAGAACTTGAAGGTATTAGTGAATATTTGTGCCTGATTACTTGGAAACAGTTCAAGATATAATTTGAAATGAACATATTTTGAGCTGGCATTTGTATAAAAATAAGTAAGTACAGAGGGACTAAATCAATGTCAAGAAATACAGTAGAGTTCAGTCATCTACTATTTGGAAATATCAGCAAAAATTGAGTTTAAGTACTAGAATTTGACTGAACTCCAGGAAATCATACACACAAACAGTTACAGAGAATGTGGTGTTCTCAGCACACATTGACTATATTCTCTGTTTAACATAAGGAAGAAGCACAGACTTAGGAAGTTCTTTACTGAGTTTATCTGCCAATAAAATAAGGGTAAAACAAATATTAATTCCAATAGTCATGATGATGGGTGGCTTAGTGATAAGCTATGCTACAATTACAAAGGCACAATATTCAAATCTACTACCTAGTCTATGCGAGAAGTTTGTACAATCATCTCTGAGGTAATTTGCTGCTTCTGAACCTGCTGGAGGGATTTGAGTGAATTCAGAAACAAATGCACACAATTAACAACAGCACAACTTGGACTTAACATGAACATTTGAATATGATTACTGGAATTGGTTGAATTTTAGTTCATCCTATGTGCATGGAACAAGTTATGGAGAAAGTAGTATTTCAAACAGATAATAATTGTATTTTCAATTTAGCATATGAAAAAAAGATAGAACTTACCACGTTCTATAGGGACTTTGTCTATAAAAAAAAAACACGTTAATTAAAAAAATTTAATGGTGAAATTTATAACGTGGATCTATTATCAAATCTTTGTGAAAGATTACTTGGAACAAGTTACAGAAGATGTAATTTTCCAAAAAGACATCAATTTTATTTTCAATTTGGCATATGAATAAAACAAAACTTAACACAATATTTATTTACATATAGTTGTGTAACATAAAGTCAGAAGTGACCCAAAGATAGCCTTTCAGAGGCAGTTAATTGCAGGGAAGGAGATTTCCCACCCTTCTCCCGCTTGAGTAGCTGGTGGACTAGAACACCTTGTCTTAAGTATTAGAGTGCAGTATCTTGCCACTGCACCACAAGAACTCTCTCCATGTACTACAGAAAAATTGAAATAAATGAAGTGGGACTATATTAGCACCAAGAAATATAGTAGAATTTGGTCTTCTATGATTTGGAAACATGAATAAGTAATTTGTTTAAGTGCTAGAATTTGACCAAATTCCAGGACATCTTTATACAGTTCATCATATACTTACATCCAGTTAAAGAGAAATTAAGTGTTCAGAACAGACACCAATTGTAATTTAAATTTAGCATATGAATGAATCACAGAACTTACCAAGTTTGTTTCTGAGTTGATCTGCAAAGAAAATAGAGAAACTTTAATTCAAACAAATCTGAAGAATGGTAATCAACAACACCAACACCAACAAAGTTATGTTTAAAGGCAGAACTTACCACGTTCTTTAGAGACTTTGTCTATGGAAAAAAAAGTAAAGAGGCACATATTAATTCCAGAAAATATAATGGTACAACTTACTGTCCTATAACTTCGATCTATTAATGAATCTTTGGTACAGATCACTTGGAACCAGCTACAAAAATGTAGTTAATAATTGTATTTTCAGTTTTACATATGCAAGAAACACAAAACTTAACACATTCTTTACTGATCTGTACTGCAAGATAAATAGAATGGGAGTATATAAAAGCAAAAAAATATAAAATAATTTGGTTTTCTATGATGTGGAAACATCAATAAGTAATTTCTTTGAGTGCTAGAATTTGACGAAATTCCAGAACATCTTGATACAGTTCGTCATATACTGACAACCAGTTACAGACAAGTGTTCAGAACAGACACCAATTGTAGTTTCAATGTAGCATATGAAAGAATCACAGAACTTAAAAAGTTCATTTCTGAGTCAATCTGCAAAGAAAATAGAAAAACTTTAATTCAAACAAATATGAAAGATGGTTGATTGGTAAGAAGTTGTATTGAAATTCCAAAGGGATGGTCTTCTAATTCACCAACTACTCTATGGGAGAAGTTGGGGTAATGACATCTGGTATGATAACTATCTCTGAAAACCTACCAGAGAGTCAGCCATGAATAAACTCAGATTCAAATACACGCACTAAACAATAGCATAAATTGGAATATTTGTTGAAATATTTGAGTAAGTTTACTGGCATTGGCTGAATGCCAATTCATCCTACGCTTGGAGCACATTTTGGACAAAGTAGTGATTCAAGCTGATAACAACTGTTATTTTACATTTAGTATATAAAAAAAGGTAGAACTTACCATGTTCTGTACAGACTTTGTCTATAAAAAAGAGGCACATGTTAATTCCAGGAAATATAATGGTAGAATTTAGTGTTCTATAAAGTGGAGGAATTGGCTGACACAGAGGAATTTCATGAAATAACATATGAGCAAGAACCTATGGTGATGAAGGAGGAAGTTCAAGTTGCTGTTAAGGAATCAGCAAAAACCAAGGCTCCAGGAGTTGACGGCATACCAATTGAGTTACTTCAACAAACAGACACTGCCCTGGATGTACTCACTAGGTTGTGCCAGGAAATCTGGAGGACAGCCAGCTGGCCAACTGACTGGAAGAGATTGATATTTATTCCCATTCCAAAGAAAGGTGACCCAACAGAGTGTGGAAATTATCGAACAATATCATTACTATCACATGC